CGGAAGTCCCGGGGAAGAGGAAACCACAAATACTCCTTCTGGGGGAAATGATATAATTACATATTTGCATAACAAAGTGATATTAGCAAAAATCTGTTCAGCATGTGAAGGCCAATCCCACACTTGTGCTTATTATTCGCCTGGCTTTCAGGCTTGCCAGAATTTACTTATCAAAGCCATCTCCGCTGCGGTGGCTCCTCCATTCGGCTCTCCCCGCTGTCATCTGCAGCTTCACCTCGGCTGCCTCCCACCAGCCCTCTGCACCATCTGATTGCCCCTCTCAGATGGGCTTCCACGTCTTCTGCTCCAGCAGGGCTCCTGCCACCAAGTCTTTGGGTCAGTGGCACCAGCTCTGCTCCCAGCAGCACGTCCCCCAACCCCACAAACTCACCCCGCTCTTACTAGACCCATCATCTCTGGCCAAAGTGTGTCCCACCCCGCAAAAGCCATTGCTCCAGAGAAACCTCATCTCCTTTCATGGGATTTGGTGTTGTCTCCCGGTAATTTATATCACAGAATGGTAGGGGTTGGAAGGCACCTCTGGAGATCATCTAGTCCAACTCCCCTGCCCGAGCAGGGTGACCTAGAATCCTCCGCAGTCAGCTCTGGATGACTCAACCCACACCATATCCCCTACATCCCCTACACACACACGCTCCCACGTACACCGCGGAGTTCACAATGACCGCAGGAGAACACTGAACCTCGCGTCAGCCGCTGCTGCGTGGAATCGCGCAGCTCAAATCCCAGCGGTGCGGGGAACAAAGCGGCGTGAGCTCGCTTTGAACTTCCTCGCTCTTGGTCTTGGAGGTGTGTACAGAAAACAGCCTTGCGCTCAGCAGGGTCACGGTGAGAAACTCGCACCAAACCCCCCTGGTGTACAGCCGTTATGTATGTCCATCATCCATCCCCGCGGTTTCACGCTCGTGGGACGGGTGTTTGCTCAGGTGGCCACCGTCAGCCCTCCCGCCGGAGGTGCCTTCCCGGCGTAACATCTCCTCCCGGGCCCGGACATTGCATGTTTCTCTCATCACGGAGAACTGCTGTGGGATCTGTAATACCTCTGCTTGGAGCTGAGCTGAAATAAAACATGCCTCAAGCGAACAATAGCCAAATCACCGGAGCGATGTTTTTCCTTCTCGTAAAGAGCACGCGCTGTGCACAGGGCTGATCCGCGCGGCCTCGGCACGCTCAGCACCTGTGTTTGTGTTTTCTGCGCAGTGGGAACAGCGCCTCGGCTGGCTCCGCTTGTCCCTGCCTGCCTCCCAGAGAATCGCCCAAAGGTTTTATTCGGTTTTGATCTGATTTCTTTTCTGTTTGTGGGCAGTTGGAGTTAATGGAGCGCTTGCTCCTACAACCTCTTTCGCTGATGGCCAAAAGGAGAACACCTAATTCAGGGGGGGTTGGACTAGATGATCTCCAGAGGTCCCTTCCAACCCTGACCATTCTGTGATTCTGTAATGATGAAGCCATACGCTGCTTGGAGACCACCTTGCTCTTCACACGAGACAGGGGTCAGCCACTGAGGCGGCATTGCTGTCCCCCATCTCCTTCTTTTTGCTCTGGAGATGCAGCGAGACTGGCAACGCTGCGGCTGGAACCACAAACCTGCAGCTCGTGAAGCGCTGCTGCGTCCTCTGAGGTGGTACCTCACTGTACGGCTACCAAATGCAAAAGTGGGGCTTAATTCCCATCACTGCTCGGGTTCCTCAGACAGCTGGCCTTCCACAAAACCACTGCTGGCCAGCGAATACAAAACTACCAACGCCTCTCCATAAAATCACAATGAGCCCACTGGAATGTCATGTGACATAATACAAAAAGTTTCTAACTATGTCAAAGCATCCTGCTGTGACGGTTTCTTTTCAAAGCATTGTACTTTGTACCAAATAATAACTCCTCCTGTGATTCTGCGCGTGGCTCAGGATGGAGCTGTTCACCACCAATCTCGTGCTACTCCTCAGCTTCATTCTATTATCCAAAACAACAACAACAACAACACTTCCGAACGCTGTTGCAAGACCAAAGATCCACACTCGACATAAAAAGAACAAAACTATGATTTTGGCAGGGGAGGTAAAGAAATGTAAAAGAATCCAAAACATACACAGGCTAGTAAGATCTGTAGACTGTAACTCATGTACGTAGTTTAGACACGCTTGAAAAAAAACCACCCATCCCCCCGCACTGGTATAAAACCTATAGTTGTGGGGAACCTTTGCAAGGACACATTTACTCGTCAATGCCTAAAAGCAGTTGTCTTACGGCAGTGTGCGAACTCTGTACCCGCCGTCGGTAAACGCCACGCTCAGCGGCGATACCAGAGTTCTCTTTCAGAACAGAACGGAGAGATTTCCACTCACCTTACGTTTAGAGCAGGCGGGAATTTCAGGCTGGACACTTGGCATTTGTTTCTGCTAAAAAGTCTCAGAGCACACGAACACATACAGGAACCTTTCATGTGGTCACCGGCCCTTAGGAAAGCTCCTCTCTCCATTACCATTTCTGTGTCCACTCAGGGCTGGACAGTGACAAGACGTTGGGAAAAACCACCGCCAATGTTTTAGGGAAACCGAGCGTAACAGTGCTTAGTTGCTTCTAGGCACTATCCGGTCTGACTAAGAAATTTAACCTTTCCTTTACAACGTGAGCCAGATGACAGAAGTGCCTGGGGACAGATCTTCACTTACAGCAGAGGCTACAGCTTCTTCCCGTTGGGACTGGCAAAGGACGACACCGTGTAACTCCGGAGCCATGACGGATAACACTGCAGGGCGCCAGGTTTTGAACGTCGGCAGAGACCCAACACCAGGAGATCAGCGCACAGGCAAGGACGGGCGGCCAGGAATCCAAGGAGGTTACCGAGCAGCCAGTAACTCTGTAAATTACTCCGTGAACACCATCCTTTCATCGCAGATATTACAGTTTACTTTTTGTCACAAATGAAGTTCATTGCCCACATCAGAAATAGCATGAAATTACAATTCCACAGGAGATCAGCACCAACTGCAAAATACGAGGCTTCCTACAGCCTTTCAGTTACCTATTTTTAGAGAGATACAGTGCGCATTGGTGACACGCTGAACTGACAACACGATAAGCCTGCTTAGATCCAGATTCCATTCCATTTTCCATAGGATTCTCCTGGATTTCCTCCCGTTCTTTCCAATCAAGAGCATTGACTACTAAGATAAAAGCAAAGTAAGCCGAATTTGTGGAAATAACTTCTGAAGTTAAAAATTTACTTCTATTATTTCTGCTTCATGCTATTTATTCATTTAGATTGTAAAATGATGTTCTCCAAACTCCAGGGACCACTTTCCAACTTAGTCTTTTTAACATTACTTTAAAATCCAAGCAGATTGAGACTGAAAAATGACAGTTCATTTGTCAAGAGGAATGAAAAAATGTAATTCATACCCTTTCAACAAATTGTCCCTCCTCCCAGCCTTCATAATCAGGATTTCTCCCTCTCCAGTGCTCACGAGAGGCAACACCTAGTGTTTTCAAAATGGCTTAGGAGTCCTGATTTTTTTTCTGGGGAAAAAAAATATATCCCCAGATGCTAAGCTGTACTATAAAAGCAATTTTGCTTTATTGCTACAAAAATATTTGTAAGTCAATACCTAGCCCGTCCCTTGAGCTGCCCCAAGACACAAGGGCAGTAAAGCGAAGCTGAGTCCATGACAGAAGCCTACTTTTCAGGTGAAATGCAAGGAATGATGGAAAACTTTGTTTGGTAGTGCTAAACGAGGGAAACACCTAGAAGCACCAAGGTCAGGAGAAGCCTGCCCCAACAGCGCAAGGTCTTCTCTCTGGAGTCGTAGTTTCCAACACACAGCTCTCCGCAAAATCAAAGCCTTACTGCAGTCTTGGGCTTTTGTTCTTTCCGTTAATTGCCCTGGGAAGAGGCATCACTTGCTGTTGCCTGTTTATTCTCCGAGCAGGCTTCCAGCTTGGTATTTCCACCGGCTTTGATGTGAAGGTCTCCGGCGGCGCTGGGTTTCTCTGTCCGCTGCGGGCAGGGCAGCTCCTGCTGCCGGCATCTGCTGGGTCTACAGCAGGGGGCTCTGCCGACCCAGCGACGGAGGCAGCAATGGAGACCAGGAGAGGAGGTCCAAAACCTTCAGCAGCCTGGCCATGCGCTGGGCTATTCCTCCTAAACCTGGCTGAAGCTCGGAGACAAAGAGTACAGTAACCTTTGGTGCATGCATCTGCTGCTGCAATTTCGGGGTGCTACGGGATGAAGCGCTCTCTATAAAAGCAAGATGTTACAGTAAAAGATTTTATTATATTTTAAAAATGGCAGAACTTCATAACATTGAAAGTTTTATGGAGGGAAAAAAAACCCAAGGCTTCTAAATCTCTCGCAAATTATTGCAGCTTTGAAGTAACAACTTTCACTTTGTAATTGTTGGAACACTCCTCCTCCTTGCAGTAAAGGGATCTTTAATGTGCCAACTGCTGAGACCGAGGCGCTCAGCCTTCTCCAAAGGGAACGTGCTTGTGATGAGGCTGGCAGATAAACCTCGCCCGACGGTACGCCTAGCAGCGCTGCTACCGTCTTTGCTCTTGTCCCAGTTGCCCCACCGGTCCTTTTCACAAATTTGCGGTATGGAGACCAGAAAAGATCATTAAAACCATCCAGACCCCTACGGAATAAGGTCCAGGGATTTTCACCCAGCCACGTTCTGCCTTTACCTCCACATCCTTTTTCTTTTCTCTGTAATTATTACTTTTGTTTCCTGCTAGTTCCTTCTGCTGCTTACGTCGGTGCTGTTTTCCAGTTCCCCAGTAAGCAGACAGCTACAGCCAGTACGGGCTCTTCCTTCCACTTCACTCCCCTCAAGGAGCGAGGCACCAACCAGCTCTAAACCAGTATAAAACCCCCCTTCCTACCCCCAAACACAAGGTAAACATCTTTAAACTGTTTATTTTTCTTCCAGATGACTTTAGAACGGCTAAACACACCACTGGGATAAGAGCCACACGGATGGACCTCAGGTCCCTCTTCTGACGATGTGGTCGTAGATAACAACGTGGAGATAGAGATCTGTTTGAACAGGCGTCCGTGTTGTGTTGTCTCCGGGGTCGGCCTGAAACACAGAATGTTACAGATAATCAGAAGAGAGAAAAGACATGGTTGTTAATGTAATGAATTCTCCTCCTCTTCCCTGGGAACGTAAAGTTCGATAAATGAAACTAGCTCTGACGGTGGGGATTTCTCAGCAAAGACTAACGTCCTGGTGCCGGCATGGTCGTTTCTCCTGCAATGCTTTTAGCAGATGCAAAGCCAGTGATAAGAGTTTTTTCAGCTAAATACAACCAGGAACAAGTGGACCATGGACTGGCTAAAGAGAAGGCCCCCGTGGAAGATCAGCCAGCTCGTACCAAGTCTGTTCAAGATGAACCCCACGAGAGAGACCTTGTGCTGATCTCAGTTCGGCCCACAGCGAGTGCTCCTCAAAAGCTTGTTCTCCATCAGCGAGTGTCATGGAAAAGTCAAAGCCAGACAGATGTCATGGGCACTCACAGCCCCGTGCCCTGCAGCCTGCGGGGGGACACAACGTACACCCACAGACGCGTCTTAGTGCGGCTCTCGGCACGCGACGGTCTTTCCCGTAGATGCTGAAGAGCTGGTTATTTGTCACAGATGTTCTGCAGCTGCAGGAAGTTGGACTGGTGGCCCGCTTTCAATGCAACCCAACACATTTTTAGGTATGCGTTTTGGAATTTCTCACAAACCAATGCACTTATTTTGAAACGCATATAATTTGATATTTTGTACTGTTACTATTCATACGCGACCATCTTTCATGGGAAGCACATCAAAGAAACCATCATCCTAGATCAGTTCTGTAGAAACCCAAACAAATTATTGCCCAGCTTAGTCCATGTTGGTTTTGAGAGTAAACCAAAGCCTGGGTGTGTTTGTCACATCCAATCTGCAGTCCAAGGACTTCAGCTGTAAAGTTTAAAGAAGCGTGGTTGGCACCAAAGGAACACAGTTGGTTTCTGACAGAGGGAAGCTGCCTATCATGTTATTACCCATTCAGCTTTCACCATGAAAGATGAAATACCCTTGGCGATTGAATCAGCTTTCAACTATGGCTGAAAATGGAATGTCCAGGTACCGCTCCAGCATTTGCTTTGTTTGGATCCAACTGCTATGTAAATAAACCGTATAGACCAATCAACTTCAGCAGTAATAGGATCGGAGCCATTTTTAGGTGAAAGCAAAGCATACGTTTGTGCTGTTAATCATATATAAGACACAGAATCCGCAACGCTCATCCAGTTTATACCGCTACTGAGGCACGAGTATTTTTCCTTCATTTTACTCAATTGTGAACCCTTCTGAACCATTTACCGCATGCTGGACAAACACAGCTCTCCATAAGAAGATATATCTAGTGTCAAATACCTCTTTTGCGAGGGACAGGTTTTAAAATCCAGGCCTGACCCTCATGCCAGTGGCGATCTCCATCCGCTACAAGAACTAAATGACCTTAATGGGACCGCTTTCCTTAGGACTTCTCAAATCTTTTGTATTAAGGAAGGAGGAGGTCGGGAAAGGAATTCTGCCGGTTTCAGATCACCGCTGCAGAGGCGCCAGGGTAGAAGGCGGCCCAACTCTTCAGATGCAGAAACCAATTCTGCTTTCTGGATTTGCTGGTGTTCACCAGGCCCTGCCAGGAATTGGGATGTTACAGTTCCTGAAAGTTGCAGCTTTTGTTTCAAAGAAGCCTAACATTTACTTATTTTTATCCAGTGTTTATTTATTTTTATCCACCTGCAGGCGTGTTTCTTAACGGAAATTTGATTTTTAAGAGGAGATGAATACAGGGACCACCAGCCCCAGGACGCCTCGCCAACGTTTTGGCAATTTTTCCTTTTAGCCAGATGCACACGTGTCCTCCTCGGGAGTAAAAACAGTGTCTTTCCACACCAGATGTACCTGCTTACACACTCCCATGCTTCAGTCCCCACATCTTCCGCTCCATCTCCTTCTCGGTGGGTCAGTGCAGGGGACATGACCGTGTCACACGTCCCGTCCCGGCAGCGACGGCAACAGTTCCTTGTTCTGGTTGGGAGGGAAAAGTGCAGGGGAAGGGACGGGGGGTAAGAGAAACCCTGCTGGGGAAACCTTCCCCTGTCATCAGTCGGTTCAACTGCTGATTTTTGTCCTCACGAGGGAACGGCTGAGACACACTCGGTCACAAACGAGGTAGGGGAAGTTTATCCTGACGGGGACCACAGCAGCTGTGTTAACAAGGGGAATAGCGTGTCTGAGTAAGCCTGACATATTAGGTGTGTATCGGTAAAGACGCTGTTTGCAATCGGACTCAACAGTTTAGCAGTCAAACTCCATCGCATAAAGGCGATTTAGAATATCGGGGGGAAGGGGGAAAGGCATTTACCTGGGGATCCACATTTATTATTTTCCTATCACTTTTGTTCTTGAAGAGTAGTCCGCAGGCATTTTCTGCAATCACTTGGTAATTTGGGCTGGAATGCGAAGTGCTGACATTTCTATCCCAGTTGTAAAAGCTGTGAAAATGCGAAACAGAAATGCCGTACTTTTAATGGATGTCATTCTTCCAGCTTAACGGGCAGATTCTGACCTCCTTATTCATGCTGAGCAGTTCCCGAATCCACAACGGCCCCTCTGAAAGCCAGACAGATTCACCAAGGAGCAGAAGTCTCCTAAATATTAGAGAACCTGTCCAGACACGGCCCTACAAACCTCATCTCCGCCAAAACGGCGCTGAGGCCCCCAGCTGCCTCCTCGCCCGTCCCGTACCGCTGTTCCTGAAAGACTCGGAGCCCCGGCTGGAACGAGCGGGAAGTGGCAGTGCTGGAGAACTACTGCTGTGACGGAAACAGCTCTGGAGACCACCTGAAAGTGCTTCCCGGACCACCACAGATCTGCAAACCAGATGTGGGAACCGACCGTTTCCCCATAGGATCTCACTGCAACTCTCTTGCTGCCTTACCATTTTTCCTTTTTCTTGTTTTTAATATAATTCTGGTGGCGAGGAGTTTTCGGAAGGCTCCCCGCGGGGCAGACGCGGTGCGAGGGGCTGAACTCCAGCTCCCCACAGAGACGTAGGTGTCAGCCGGGGGTTAATTTTGGAGCAAACCCTTCCGTCAAGCTGATGCTGCTCGCTCCTTTCCCAAACCTCCAGCGCCAAACAAAAGTGACAAGGAACCAGCCAAACACCAACGGGACACAGCAGTTCATCGGTCCTTCTCCCAGGCCAGAGATGATGGAATTCCCTGAGCCTTCTCACACGTCTGCTTTTTGACTTCTCCAACTTTTTATCACCTGAGCTCAGCCCTTCTTCTGGCCTTGGTACTTGCGATCACCCAGCGAAGAGGCTCTCACCTGCACCCTCACTCTTCGTACTCCTGTACACAACTTTTCGGCTGGGATGTACCTGCAAACGGCGCGGTGCGACAGCGCTGCCACACGTACCTCGCGGGGATACCCATCTCATCGCCGAAGCGGCACATGGCATTTCTGCTGCTCATGTGACGAGCGCATCTTCTCGCAAAAGGCAGAGGTACGGGGGGAAATTGGGAAATCATTCTGTGCGTAAGGCGGAGTCAAGAAATTTAGAAAATTCCTTTTAATTTTCCTGCCTTCTGCAAGGATACTCCGTTCCAACCAGATACGTGGCAGCGCCTTGGTTTCTCCCTCACTTTGACAGAGCGCAAAGCAACGCGCCTGGCTGTTACGTACACCAAACCTTTCCCATCCTGGTAGGGATGGGTCAATCTATAACGACGTGGAGCTGTATTTACAATGCCCTTACAGAATTCATCCTGGCATCGCCCAAATCAGTGGGGGAGTCGCCACTCAAGTCGACAGCCGAGGATTACAGCCCGGTAACCCAAAAATGTGTGCTCAGCACAAAGTCACGTCCCTGCGCCAGCGAGTTAGCGCCGGCAGAAGCTGCCCTCGAACTCCGTGCAGCCTGAAGCGTGGATGCCTGCGCAAAATGAGCGTAAGGTGGGTGGACACAATTCATTCACCTGAGTAGTAATAACTGCTTTCCTTTGATATGCTAATCGGTCACAGTCATTTGTCTTCTATAGAATTATTTAATTCTCCTGACTACCCACGTTAAGTGGTAAACGGAAGATTTTTTTCATTCGCTGTTTAAATCTAGGAGTAAGAATATGCACAAAGTTGTATACAAATGAAATACACAGATTGTTTTAACTCTCTGCTCAGTTACCTTACTTCAACCACACAGCTTTTCCCTGTCCCTCATGAGACAGCTTGGTTATAAATTCCTGTTGCACAAATAGAGATCTTTTTCTGCTGGAAAACCACTGCCAGATTAGGAAGGAATTGCTCTACATGATCTCCGAGTTGGGGTGGGGGCAGAGGAGGGAGGATATATGTCTCTGTGAAAGACTTCGCCACATTCATTAAAAAGAAATTAGACATCCGAAGGCAGAAATAGTCAATTAGCCAACAGATAATAACTTCCTGCGTTTTGCCAAGTTTCCATCCCCACTCCTACCACACTTCCCCATTTAAACCAGCAAAGACGAGAGCTCAGAGTGCCTTTCTGCTGGGAAACCAATGTCGAGTGCAAACAGTTCCGTTACCGACTCTTTCACTCCATCACAAATCACATTCCATCACGTGCTTAGATGTGAGACATAACCCCCAAATCCACTGGCAAAACGACGTGGGAAATACACCCAGTACTGCCTAAAGAGGCAGGAGGTCAGAAGAAGACTTTGACCAGAGGACCACGGGGTTGGAGAGACCTTCTCCATAGCAGTCTCTCCCCCGACAGCCCCTGCTAAGGTAAAACTTGCTCACCGTCACCAACGTGTTCCACCGCGAGGACACTCCAAGAGGGAGGGGGCTGGAAATTGGGGCCCTGGGAACCCCATTGCATCCGTGTTTCCTCCTCTACCACAAATACTACACTAAACTTCAGCACTAAGTGCTATTTAGGAGTTGCTATAATCCCAATCTAATCAAACTCATTTTTGCCAGCAGAATTCCATGCGGCTTTAAGAATTTAAATTATCCTGAGATGAAAACATGCAATCAGGTGAACATGACCAGATGCCGAAGCAATAAATTTCAGTGTACATTTTTTCTATTATTATTTTGTTTGATTATCACACCTTTTGGAAGAAAGGTAACAGTCTTCAGCATAGCACTTAAGTATGTGGAGTACGAGACAATTAGTCCCCGTAGTCCAGCTGCAAGAAAAATGCATCTTGGAGTTTCCTTTAAATTTTTTTTCTTCTTTCTTTTTTTGACTTGTTGGTGCAGTGGTATATAACGAGTAGCACACTGTGTTTGGGGATACAGACTAAAATATGTCAGGTGGGTGGCTTTTTTTTTTTTTTTCCCCATTCATCAGCTAATTCTGGTCTGTGCAGATTTTCATTCTTCAGGCAGGCGGATGCCCTCCCAGAACACAGGAGCCTGAATACAGGTTTTTTTGTATCCTTTAAGTTATCCTTCGGGTACCAAGATGGCAGCGCATCAAACCACACGGTGCTTACAGAATGTCTTTCATCCAAAAATCCCTGGGTCCTTTTGTAAACAGGCATTAAACCACCTGACATTCTTGTGAGGTGTAAGGCAGCCTTTGTTACAGCTCATCCGTGGCTGGGGGAGCCCGGGCACAAAAAAACGTCGCAGGTTTTTTGCTCTCGGATAGGTGGGGCGAGGGCAGAGCAGTGCAGAGTGCCGGCTGCCATCTCCCGCCAGGAGATGGGGTGCGTTGGTTGGAGCCCTGTGGCTGCTCCCGTTCAGGGAGGTGGACCACCCTTTCCCAAGAGGCAAACCCTCGGCAAGGTTGCGAACGGGATTTTGACACCTCAGTAGCGTGCGACTGTCCCCTTTTTTCCCCTTATTCTACGGTGGGAAACGAGCAGTGATGGAAGAACCTCTCACAGAGCTGAAACGCTGCAGTGCATCAGTCCGGGGCAGACGGGACCGCGTGTCAGCCTCCCGACCAACGCCTGACCGAGAGCAGAGGTGGTGGTGCGCATCTGCAGGGTTAAGGGCTTTGTTGTCCCAACTTACTATTTACTATTTAGATCAGCGAAATCAGGGAGACAGAACACAGCGTGAAGGTGTTTATGTCTGTGTTGGCCCCACCTTTGATCCCGTGGGGTTAGATTACACTGCCCTATTCTCTCTCCCCCTCGGGATAAGGATCGGTTCCTTGATTCAGCTTCTCTACTTTTCTCTTCCCGCCCACGCGTACACAAAGATAAAACCCTTCCCTATAGCAGACTGGGACTTCAGTCAAAAACTAATTATAAACAATGATGGCTCAACAGCTTTTTTCAGTTTGTGGTTCCATGAATTTGCGATGCAAACGATCTGGCTTCAGTTCCCCCCCCCTCCCTGGTAATTTACAGACCAGCGTGCTTTAGTCGGGCAGCGGCAGAAGGGTGCAGACAAGGGAGACAGGGGGATGCGGGACAACAAAGGAGACGAGACCCGGGAATGAGAAGAAGCTGCAGCTCCTTTATCCCGGCGTTCTCTTTCCTCTGTGCCCTCCGGTAGGAGTGCACTGGTAATCGTTCTAATGGGGGGAAACTGGCATTCTGCGTGCGCCTGCCAACTATGACAAAGCAGCAGCATACTTGGATGGGATTTGGCCCGCCAGTCCTTCCACAGCCTTCTGGTGCAAACGAGGTCAACGCCTCGGTGGGACGCGACACCACGGAATACGGCACATATGCCTGACTCCATGCCAACCGCTATTTCATAATACGACGCATGTCATGGACCTCCCATTAAACAAAAACGAGCTACTTTTTCCACCTAAGAAATTCAAACATACTGAGTTTCGCTTTTCTTTTTTGATCTTGGAGTGGCTTTAAGTGAAACAGTGACATTTATCAAATGATTGCCAATGTAGGGTGAGATACGTTGCAGCACTGCGGAAAACTGAGGCAGTTTGATTTGTCCACAGCTACAGTGCACAGTAGCTATTTTGATGATTTTTCCCTGCTTACCCGTGCAAAATTGTCACAAACTGGTTGTACACCAGAGTAACTCCAACGAACTCTTGTATAACGTTGGTAGAAACACGCATCTGCCTGGAGGACGTGTTGGCGCCCTGGGCTGCTGGAAGCAGTGGAGAAGCACGGCTCTGCCCGCTGCTCTCGCAGGTACAACGCAGGAACCCCCACGGTGTCTGACGCCTCCTCTTCGCACCGGCGGTAACGGGGACCTCTAACCTGTGGCTGAGTTTCGCCGCGCAGAACTGGCACGGTGGGAGGACGTTTGGTGCCGCAGCCAGAAATCATCTTTAAGACTGTTTTGGCCTTGTTTTTGCCATTTAGTGAATGTGCAGCTCACCGCATGTCATTACTGAACTTGGGAACAGCCCCGTCACCATCGGGGTCAGCAATGACGTGCCATTGCTGCAAGGTTGTTTTGGGAACCAATACTGTGTCCAAAAGTGGCAGAGATGCATCTCCCTCCTGCTCACAACTGGACCGCTCGGGCAGTGGTGCGCTTTGTCAAGCCCCAACACCTTCTGGCCGCA